GCCTCCAGCCCCGCGGCCCGCTCTGCAGCCCGCACGTACCGCAGGAGCTCGGGAGCCCGGGGAAAGCCCGGGCGGGCGGGAGAAACCGAAAACCCGTCGCCCCCCTCTTTGCGGAAGCGGCCGGGGTGGGTGCGGGGGAACCGGAGCTCGGTGTCAGATCCTGGTGGAAGATGTTAAAAGGAAGACCTTGGTTACAACCGAACTCGCAGATGTGAGTGTGTGCTGCCCCGGGCAGGCACAAGGCAGCGACTGGGGCGTGGAGGTTTGTCCCGCGCATTGTGGTGCGGAGCGGTAGCGGGAGGTGAGACACACAGCGCGATCCATAAAGACCGGTTTCAGAAAGACCACGCCGAAAGAAGGAAAAGTTGAAAATCCGTGTGCCTGAAACCACGTAACCATGTTTTAAATAGCTTTGCAATATTTCTCCCCTGTTAACAGGTCCTTTTGCATTGTGCCTTCTCTTACTTTCTAATATGCTGTTTTAAATAACAAAGCCCCATATGGCTAAGCACGGAGTCATTTGATTTTCAAAAGACCTCGGCAATTGCATCAAAATATGCACTCATGTATCTCCTAAGACATCAACAACAGAGAATTAATAGTGGCATATGGTGTGCCTCGTAGAGAAAACTTAATTACAAATTAAATGCGAAAATTCGCAAATTCCGTAAACTGAAAGTAAATTATGAGCCTAGATTGATACACGAATCACCTCGTGTACAATTAAGGAGCCTGTAACTTCTAGGTTTCTCTTTCACAACTGGGGAAGGCGTGTTTGTCACAGGAACGCGGGTCAAATTCCCCTGCTTCGCCCCTGAAAGGGCTTGCGCCCACCTGGAAATCAGCTCTCTTCCTCCTGCAAGTGCTGATGGTAGGGGGCAATTCTATTAGTCCTTCATTCAAAATAAGTGTTTTTACTTGAAAAACCTATTGGCAAAACTTGAGACTGGGAGTTTTCTTTCAATCTTGGAGATCACCAAGTCTGAAGGTCACATTTTTGAAACGCCGCTAAGAACAATGGTGCTGTGGTTTACACCCGAAAGAAAATCAAATAGGTGCTTTCTACATTCTATTTTTGGAGCAGGAGAAGTCCCTTTGAAAAATACGCTGGCCCTCACCCCTTCCAATTATAGCTAAATAAATGTAATGGAAGATTTTTAGTATTAATTAAACATCAAAGGCACTTTTTCTGCTGCCTTACATTGTAATATATTACACTTGTCAATCTTCAAAGTACTGGAACATACATCTCATGTGATCTTTACCACACCGCAGCAAGAAAACATCTTCTCATCCCCAGTTTTCAAATGAGAAAATGGAGGTCCCAAATGTGGAGATCCGTGTCCAAATCACACAGCTGTGGAGCAGAGCGGCCGGGTGCCCGGCACCTCCAACAAGCCCTGCTTTTCCAAGTACACGGAGTGACCTCCCAACTATTTTTCTGTAAGCACCGTGTGGGATGAGAGAGCCCAAAGAAAGCCACAGGTAGGTTTCCGTAGCTCTCCTTTCCTGTCTGTAGCAGAACAGAGATTTACACGTGGAAAAATAAGGCCAGTTGAGGATATTTTAGTCTCTGCTAACTGAGGAAGTCAACCTGTGGGACCTACGCTGGTCAGATTTCTGTCCTGGCAAATGGAAAATTTCAAACTCAAACTGAGGGTGCCAGTCACCCACTCATCCTTTTGTCCTCTCTCAGAGCCTGAGAATGAGCTCCTCATGCAGAGGGGTGAGTGGAAATTGGTTATCTAGGTGCCCACCCAGAAGAGTTTCACAAGCGCTGGAAAATTCAAGGAGTGGTAGCTGGGCGTGGTGGGGCACGCCTATAATCCCAGCACTCAGGAGGCTGAGACAGGAGGACTGTCTTAAATTTGTGGCCAATCTGGGCTACATAACTGAGTTCAAAGCCAGTCTAAACTGCATAGTAAAACCCTGTATCAAAAAAAATTCAAGGAGTGAAGACAGAAGATGGCCTTTTAGTGATATCCAGGGTATCCCAAACCATACCTGGTGACACCTAGGGTCACTTGTCAGCTCTCCTACCAGCCTGGGAAAGTCACCAGCCAGTTCTGTTTGTGGCAATCTACTTCCTCCTCCCCTCTACCAAAAGGAAATGTAACTTTTCTTATGAGGTGTCCCAACCACCTGCATACCAGCCAGGTGAAGGGCTGGGTGACATTTCGCTGAAAAGAAAGCAACACTTTTCTCTGAAAAGTGATTCATTCCTTTGCTTGTGCAGTTCATGAGGAAAGGGCTAGACGTGGCAGAGTCAGGGGAAGATGTGTAGAGCCTGCCCAGTGAACTACTTGGAAGGATTCATGCAAAACTTACTTGATGAATTCATTTGATCCCTTTGTTGAAAACTGGTCTAATTGCTTCATAGTTATACCATCCGTGTGGCCTTCAAATGCTGCAAATGCCGAGCTGAAAGTAATCTTAGCACCAATAAGAGGTGATGAGATGCTAAAACTATTGGTGAGCAATTCCTCAAAGCTGGAGCACACCAGCAGAGGGACTGGTTGTCAGAAACTGGCATTCATTCATTTCTTCATCCATTCATCCAATTGTGCATCAAACACTGAGCAAAGGAACTGTTCTGGATTCTGGATATACAAAATAATGTCCCTCCCCAAGCATTCCTTGTTCTGTGGTGCAAAACCGTTGCAGAGCAGTAGTGTGGCTGCTGTAGCAAAATCATGTCACCAGTGCCCTAGGTTCAATGCTGACTCTCCCAGGCTTGGGCCAGTTGTTTTCCGAGTCATCTCAGCCCCGCCCTTTGCCCTCTGTTGCTCCCCACTGCCTCCTGTAGCCTAGCTGCTGCTAAGGAGGGGCACTGGAGGGAAAGGGGCAAGGGAGGACCAGCTGGAGAATTTCTTCACCTTCCTGTTGCCCCTGACAGCATCGCCGGCCCGGGTTGCATCTGGCTGAGTCTTCCATGGAGTGACCCCAGCCCCTGGCTTGGGTGATACTGCCGGTTCCTATGAGCTCTCCAGCCTGGGACTGTCAGCGTTTTCTGCTGGAATTAGTCTCTGGTTAACTTTCCAGAGATGTACACAGGAGTGAGGCGAAGAAGGTTCCCACTGGAGGCGACCCCCGAGGCATGAGGAGGTGAGAAACTGAGGTGTCAGAATGCTAGATACAGAGTAGCATGGCTGAAACCAAGGCTTCAAAGGAAGCGCTGTGGACCCAGCTGGAGGTGCGGGGAGAGGCCCGCATCCACCACGTTTTGAACTTGATCATGTTTCCCCCATAGCAGACCCCTCTGTCTGCCTTAAGCTTTCGTCCAGTGTCCCCTCCCTAATGCCTCTGAAGCCTCCTGGTCCTATGCTATTTTCTTTCTTCCTTTGTTTTTACCAACTTCCAACACAGTACTATTTCACTGATGATTTTTCTCACTCATTGTCTATTCCATTCTCACCAGGAGATCCACAGAGCCAGGAAGCTTTGCTTTACTCAAAATATAAAACACCCAAGCAGACACACCAAAACAATGCCTGACCAAATACGTGGCCACCCTGTGGCCCAGGACAGTTGACATAAAATTAACCTCATGTTGTTGGAAAGAACTCTTAGGAGTTTTGTGAGGGTGATTTCCAGTCTGTCATGATTTAGATGACAGAAGACAGGGTGACTTACAGGAGGTTGTCAATACACTAGTTCAGGTGCAGACCTGCAGGAATTCACGGTCAGTGGCTTCAGAGGATCCCTCAGTGGCCCACGGCCAACAGGTGATGCTTCATTTGACAAACAGACCTGACTGCAGAAACTGCCGGGAGTGTAATGTCCAGAGAGCAAACTGGATGAGCACGGTGGGTTCTGGCCACCCCGAGGACAGCAGGATCTCCAGTGTCTTTAGCTGTTCAGTAGGAGCGATGCAAAGTCAGGAGACTTGCTGGCCCTCTTTTTGGGGATTTATCTACCCACTTGATGGTGCTGGTATCAAGACAGAGCAGGCATCTTATAGTGTGGCCACAGATTTGGCCCCAGGGCAGGCATCTGTCCCACCCCCCGCCCTGTGTTGGCAATTAGAGCCCTTTGGAGTTAATTCCCTGGCAAACAGGGCAAGGGAACCCCCTTCCAATCTTGTTGCCGCATTATTGGATGTTTCCAGCCACCATGGCCTCAGTTTATGGGCTCAGGAGATGGCTAACTACCCAGCTATTGCCCAAGCAGAAAGTTAAAACATGATGAAAACCTAATATAAACTTTAGATTATCCAAACAAGCCTTCCCCCCTCCATCATCATAAACAGTTTAGAATAGGCTGTATATATAGCCACCATTTATATACACAGAAGTGCTCAGAGAGCTTCACGGTGCTGGAGAGGACCCCTGAACACTCTCTAACTTTCTAGATCTAGGTAGGATCAAGTTATACTGAAAGATCTTCCACTTGCTTCTTTTGTGGGCTTCGAGTTGCAATGAAATGCCAGCCCCCTTTACCCTGTGAAATCGCAAGCCTTAACATCCTCCTGAAACTGACAGCCACGCCTTCCTACTGCCACGCTGAGGGGACAGGAAAGGAACAGGGCGACTGACTTGGACGTCGATATTGTTACTCACCATTTTGTAAGGGAGCCGTTGCCTCCCATGGGTGAGAGTAAATGGCTACTATGTAGCCAGGGTTGGCAAAAGGAAAGAACAAAATTTGCTGTGATTCAGCCATATCTGTAATATTTATCCCTGTTTATCCCTTCATTGACAAAAATCCAGGAATCCGCAGAGGGTGCAGCTTTACAGCAGTGGAGGTTGGGTGGGATGTCACTCCTTACCCTGTAGGGCCACTTACGGAATTAGCCACAGTTTACGTCCTCAGACCCGCTTCTGGGCTCCAGCTCAAGCCCTCAAGGAGTTATTTATCCTGAGTGGAGCTGCGATGTAGGCCTTGAGAGGGAAGCACGGGG